GACACCATAAACGGACATATAACAAATGATAACAGACACCATATACGGACATAGAACAAATAATACGACACCTTAAACGGACATAGAACAAACAATAAGACACCATAAACGGACATAGAACAAACGGCAAGACACTGCAACCTAAAATAAACAAGCAAAGTGACACAATAAACAGATAGAGATCAAAGACAGGACCAACGGAGAGTGCACAAGCAAAACGACGCAACCAAAGGATAGTGAACAAAGAAGAGTCACAACCAACAGATAGTGAACACAGAAGAGTCACAACCAACAGATAGTGAACACAGAACAGTCACAACCAACAGATAGTGAACACAGAAGAGTCACAACCAACAGATAGTGAACACAGAAGAGTCACAACCAATGGACATTGAACGAATGTCTTTCTTGTGGTACTGAATGGTCGGGTAGCATACACGTATCCTATGTCATCACACAGAGGGATTTTGACGCTTTCCATACTGTAGAAACAACTTCAAAGCAATCCGAAGAACTTTTTTTTTCTAATTAATATTATTCATTCACATTAAATTCTTTCTTCTTCTTCTGCGTTCGACATCAGTCATGCTAGACATTGAGTCCCGTCTGGGTCACAAATAGGATTGTGCGTTTAAGGTCGCCACCGGTCCCCCCTAGATTCTCTTTCAATGTGGCTCCCTTGGGCCAGATCCACAGTCTTTGCTGGGGGAGGTTAGGGCAGTACTTTAGTATGTGCCCAGGGGTCTGTCGTTCTGCTCCACAATCACAGGCAGCGGATTCTTTTATGCCTATCCTGTACAGGTGTGCTCGAAGACCACAGTGTCCAGTCCGAAGTCTAAAAATTGTTGTTTGTTCTTTTCTGTTGAGTTTGTTTATGCTGTCACTCTCTGGTCTGTAATCTCCATTCTGCCTTCGCCACTTCCGCTTGAAAAACTGCTTTAGCGCTGTTTCGGTTTCCTTGTAGCCGTGTAGTGAATGAGGTTGTGGAAGATTACTCCCAGCTTTTGCCAACTCATCTGCTCTCTCATTTCCTTGAATACCACAGTGGGCTGGTATCCACTGCAAGATCAGTTCTGCTTCCTTGGAGAGTAAGCCAATGTTGGTCCTTAGATCTGCAATTAGTTTGTCTTGTTTTTTGCTTGATAGTGCTTGGAGAACAGACAATAAGTCACTAAGTATAACAATTTTGTGCCCTCTGTGTTCTTGATTGATGAGATATTGGACTGCAGAAAGGAGGGCAGTTGCCTCAGCTCTGGAGTTAGTGCAGATGTCACCTGCTGGTAGAGAGAGAGTTTCTGCTCTACTGCAAGGGGGTTTAATGTAAATTCCACAACGCCCCTTTTCTGACTGCACCTGTAGCAGAGCCGTCGGTGAAAACCTGAGTCCAAGTGGTGTTTGGGTACTTCTCATCAAGCATAGCAAGAGCCAGGGTTCTCTGTTGTGACTCCGTCTAGGCATCTTTTTAAGTGATCCCTGGTACCGTTAGGACTACGTTTACCTTCTCTGGCCTAAGTTTTTCGCACAGTGCTACATCACTTACAAGCAGATCTCGGTGCTGTCTGTACAGTTCTCTAGCAAGGCGGTTGGGGCTCTGGCGCTTCAGTCTGTTATCTCTTGAAATTTAAAATGTAGTGGATGACTTTCAAGTCTTTTTGATTTCTCATACTGTAAAAGAGTTTTGTATTGTCTTCTGAGTTCGAGTGGTTCAGTATCTGCTATCCTCTCTATCTCTCTGATGGGGTTGGTTTTCAAGGCTCCGAGAACAATCCTTAATCCCATTTTCTGAACCTTGTCCAGTTTTCCCATTGTTGTCTTGGCTGCTGCAGCCCATGCAGTGGTGGCATATTCCATGACTGGCCTGACTGCTCCAGTATATACTTGTTTTAGGATTCTGGAAATGGCGCACCATGTGGTACCCGCTAATTTTTTCATCACTGCAAGCTTCTTGAATGCTTTCCCCTGTACTGCTTCTACGTGTGACTTCCAAGTTAGTCGCGAATCAAGTGTAACGCCAAGAAAGGTAGGAGTGTCAGTCTTTGGAATGAGCTGGTTTTTTTATCCAAATTTTAATTTTTTTTTTTATTTTTTTTTTGGGGGGGGGGGGGGGGGGGGAGGGGGGGTGGGCGGGGGGGGAGAGAAAAGTGATGCTGTGCTTTTTGAATTATTTAGCTTTAGACCCCACTTTTCGGTCCACGCTTGACATTTTCCACAGTTTTCTGTAACAGATATGAGGCTGTGGTAGTGTATTCGGAGGCTGTCCAAACTGCAAAGTCATCAGCATGTAGGGTATTATAAATGTGCTGGTGGCAGGTTGCTGTGATATCATTTATGTAAACCAGGAACAGAGTTGGTGCTATCGCACTGCCCTGGTGAACTCCTTCTCTTAGTTTTGCCATCAATTATGAATCTGGCTCTGCGTTGGAAAAGAAAGTCTTTGATCCACTTGTACATGTTGTGCACAACTCCTGCCTATAGCAGTTTTAGTTGTAGGCCTTCTTTCCAAACTGTATCGAAAGCACGAATATCGAATTCACATTACAAGAGAGATGGTAAGTCGTTCCCTGCCGTTAGCGATAATGAAGCATGCTGCACCTTGCGTGGAAGCGTGAGAAAACTATGGCACATTTTGTTCCATCTGCCGCTCCAGAGGTAGCTGAAGAGAATCAGGTTCAAACCTCCCACTCTCACGTCTTTGGGCGGACACAAAATATTGCATAACTTGGTAAGCGTGATACCCATTGGCTGACTCTTGTTTCAGAACTATTGACACGATCGAAAAATGGATCAACTGGCAAAATCTGCAGGCTAACAAATTGACGAGGGATTTACAAATTGACACCACAGAAAGATCTACAAATTGACACCACAGAAAGATCTATAAATTGGCAATGCAGAGAGATCTACAAATTGACCCAATCGAGGGATCAACAAATTGTCACCACCGAGAAGTCTTCAAAAAGACACAGCTGTGAAATTTACCAATGGACACCACTGGAAAATCTACAAACTGACACCACAGAGATATCTATAAATGGACACCGCAGAGATATCTATAAATGGGCACCACAGAGATATCTATAAATGGACACCACAGAGATATCTATAAATGGGCACCACAGAGATATCTATAAATGGGTACCACAGAGATATCTATAAATGGACATCACAGAGATATCTATAAATGGGCACCACAGAGATATCTATAAATGGACACCACATAGATATCTATAAATGGACACCACAACGAGATCTACAAATGGACACCACAGAGATATCTATAAATGGACACCACAGAGATATTTATAAATGAACACCACAGAGATATCTATAAATGGACACCACAGAGATATCTACAAATGGACACCACAGAGATATCTATAAATGGACACCACAGAGATATCTACAAATGAACACCACAGAGAGATCTACAAATGAACACCACAGAGAGATCTATAAATGGATACCTCAGAGATATCTATAAATGGACACCACAGAGATATCTATAAATGGACACCACAGAGATATCTATAAATGGACACCACAGAGATATCTATAAATGGGCACCACAGAGATATCTATAAATGGGCACCACAGAGATATCTATAAATGGACACCACGGAGATATCTATAAATGGACACCACAGAGATATCTATAAATGGGCACCACAGAGAGATCTATAAATGAACACCACAGAGATATCTATAAATGGACACCACAGAGATATCTACAAATGAACACCACAGAGATATCTATAAATGGGCACCACAGAGAGATCTATAAATGAACACCACAGAGAGATCTATAAATGGATACTACAGAGATATCTTTAAATGGACACCACAGAGATATCTATAAATGGATACCACAGAGATATCTATAAATGGATACCACAGAGATATCTATAAATGGACATCACAGATATCTATAAATGGACACCACAGAGATATCTATAAATGGACACAACAGAGATATCTATAAATGGACACCACAGAGATATCTATAAATGGACACAACAGAGTTATTTATAAATGGACACCACAGAGATATCTATAAATGGACACCACAGAGATATCTATAAATAAACACCACAGAGATATCTATAAATGGATACCACAGAGATATCTATAAATGGACACCACAGAGATATCTATAAATGGACACCACAGAGATATATATAAATGGGCATCACAGAGATATCTATAAATCGACATCACAGAGATATCTATAAATGGACACCACAGAGATATCTATAAATGGACACCACATAGATATCTATAAATGGGCACCACAGAGATATCTATAAATGGACACCACAGAGAGATCTAAAAATGGACACCACAGAGATATCTATAAATGGACACCACAACGAGATCTACAAATGGACACCACAGAGAGATCTACAAATGGACACCACAGAGATATCTATAAATGGACACCACAACGAGATCTACAAATGAACACCACAGAGAGATCTACAAATGGACACCACAGAGATATCTATAAATGGACACCACAACGAGATATACAAATGGACACCTTTTGGGAAATATACAAATTGACATCACCAAGAGATCTGCAAATGGATACCACGGAGAGATTTACAAATGGGCATATGTTGTATTCTGAATATTGATGGCAGCACACTCACATATAGTCAAATGTCTAGGTTTGGATTTGCGCTCGAACTCTGCAACACTCGCACAGTCAGGAAAACCCAACAACGGCTGTCTGTCATTTATTTATTTTACAAGATCGTTCGGATCTACCAACCCGGCAAACAGTGAATGGAAGTGAAGCGACATCATGCATGTCTATACACTGGCTAACATTGAATAAACCCCATCCAGCTTCGCATTTGCCAACACAGTCCTGGCGACCCTCCGTGGTACAGCCTACACTTGCTGTTTGCTCCAGGCAGTTTTTCCCCATAAAGGAAGGCACGAACAGTTGTAGGTCTGCTCCAAGCAGTTTTTCGCCATAAAGGAAGGCACGAACAGTTTCATATCTGCTCCTGGCCACTTTTCCACAAAAACCAGACGGTTGACCGGTTGACCGCGTTGCCCTCATGTCCGCTATGGGGCGCGTAGGAAGAAGGCAGACCATCACCTCCAGAGACCCAGACAGGAGCCCCAGAACATCCTGGACACGTGGCTGCCTTGTATGTGTACTTGTACCAGCACTGGTCCGAACCTACTTTCTTGAACTCTCTCTGAATCAAAGTCCCAATGCTGAACTGTTTAGAACAACCATGCGGGTGGGAAATGGCCACTGACACGTTGTTGCCATAGAGAACTTTCTCCACCTGTGGCCATCTGGATGTCCACTGCTGTCTGATGAAGTCCATGGTTGTACACAGGTCTGGGTCATGTGTCACACAGTCTATGATGCAATAGTCACCTTGAACATCACTCTTGACCACCTGGACACCTCGTGCAGTGACCACTGACGACCGATCATTGGGTATATCGTAGAAAAAGTCCACAAGTGTGCTTTGTGCTTCAGCATCATCAAAGATAACATGCATGGCTGTGTGTACTTTGATGTAGCCAGACACGGTGTGAGGACCCTTAGTCTCCTGGCAGTCACCAAACGGACAAGGGATGTCTGTTCGAATGCGGTCCTTAAACACGCCCCAGACTCGACCACTACCACATCTCATCATGGAGCTGCCCCTGTAGTTATGGAAAGTATAGCCCTCCGGTCTGGCCAGACTGGTGACGTTGCAGGTCAGGCGGACTGTTTCCTGAGCTTTTATTTTGATAAACTCCAGAACTTCTATATCCTGCACACATTCGGGGAACTTATCCAGGGAGATCTCGCGGACAGGTGTGTAGTTGTGGTGTCCAGGGTTTTTGTCACACATGATGAGGGCGTGATGAAGGTCCGACTCGGCGTTAAAGCTCACCTCCACTTCGTGCGTACCTGGGTGAAGAAAATATCACAGGCTAGAATCATAGAAAACATGAAGAGTGAGCACACCTTACAACAGTTTGAAATCTTTTTAGAGAGCTAACTATTTCTGGACATAAGGACACACGAAAATCTAACAGTTAGAGTGTTAGCTATTTCTGAACATGAGGACATATGGACATCTCACAGTTGGAGCATCAATTCTTTCTAGACATGAGGACATATGGACATCTCACAGTTAGAGCATCAATTCTTTCTAGACATGAGGACATATGGACATCTCACAGTTAGAGCATCAATTCTTTCTAGACATGAGGACATATAGACATCTCAAAGAGCATCAGCTATTTCTGGACATGATTCCATGTGGACATCTCACAGCTAGAGCATCAATTATTTCTGGACATGAAGTCATATGGACATCACACAGTTAGAGTGTCAACTATTTCTAGACATGAGGACATATGGGCATCTGACATTTAGAGTGTCAACTATTTCTAGACATGGGGACATATGGGCATCTGACATTTAGAGTGTCAACTATTTCTGGACATGAGGACACATGGACATCCGACAGTTAGAGTGTCAACTATTTCTGGACATGAGGACATATGAACATCCGACAGTTAGAGTGTCAACTATTTCTGGACATGAGGACATATGAACATCCGACAGTTAGAGTGTCAATTATTTCTGGACATGAGGACATATGAACATCCGACAGTTAGAGTGTCAACTATTTCTGAACATGAGGACATATGAACATCCGACAGTTAGAGTGTCAACTATTTCTGGACATGAGGACATATGAACATCCGACAGTTAGAGTGTCAACTATTTCTGGACATGAGGACATATGAACATCAGACAGTTAGAGTGTCAACTATTTCTGGACATGAGGACATATGAACATCCGACAGTTAGAGTGTCAACTATTTCTGGACATGAGGACATATGAACATCAGACAGTTAGAGTGTCAACTATTTCTGGACATGAGGACATATGAACATCAGACAGTTAGAGTGTCAACTATTTCTGGACATGAGGACATATGAACATCCGACAGTTAGAGTGTCAACTATTTCTGGACATGAGGACATATGAACATCAGACAGTTAGAGTGTCAACTATTTCTGGACATGAGGACATATGAACATCAGACAGTTAGAGTGTCAACTATTTCTGGACATGAGGACATATGAACATCAGACAGTTAGAGTGTCAACTATTTCTGGATATGAGGACATTTGAACATCCGACAGTTAGAGTGTCATCTATTTCTGGATATGAGGACATTTGAACATCCGACAGTTAGAACATAAACTATTTCTGGACATGAGGACACATGGACATCCGACGGTTAGAGTGTCATCTATTTCTGGACATGAGGACACATGGACATCCGACAGTTAGAGTGTCATCTATTTCTGGACATGAGGACACATGGACATCTGATAGTTGAAGCATAAACTATTTCTGGACATGAGGACATATGAACATCTGACATTTAGAGTGTAAACTATTTCTGGACGTGAGGACATATGAACATCTCACAGCTAGAGTGTCAACTATTTCTGGGCATCAACGTGAGGATATATGGACCTCACAGTTAGAGTGTCAACTATTTCTTGACATCAACATGAGGACACATAGACATCTGACGTTTAGAGTGTCAACTATTTCTGGACATCAACACGAGGACACATGGACATCTGACATTTAGAGTGTCAACTATTTCTGGACATCAACCTAGTATATGTGTTTAGTGTGTGTGCCTAGTATATGTTTTCAGTGTGTGTGCCTAGTATATGTGTTCAGTGTGTGTGCCTACTATATGTGTTTAGTGTGTGTGCCTAGTAAAAATGTTTAGTGTGTGAGCCTAGTAAATGTGTTTAGTGTGTGTGCCTAGTATATGTGTTCCGTGTGTGTGCATAGTATATGTGTTCAGTGTGTGTGCCTAGTATATGTGTTTAGCGTGTGTGCCTAGTATATGTGTTCAGTGTGTGTACCAAGTATCTGTGTTCAGTGTGTGTGCCTAATATGTGTGTTAAGTGTGTGTACCTAGTATATGTGTTCAGTGTGTGTGCCTAGTATATGTGTTCAGTGTGTGTGCCTAGTATATGTGTTTAGCGTGTGTGCCTAGTATTTGTGTTTAGCGTGTGTGCCTAGTATATGTGTTCAGTGTGTGTGCCTAGTATATGTGTTCAGTGTGTGTGCCTAGTATATGTGTTCAGTGTGTGTGCCTAGCATATGTGTTCAGTGTGTGTGCATAGTATATGTGTTCAGTGTGTGTGCCTAGTATATGTGTTCAGTGTGTGGACATCAACACGAGGACACATGGACATCTGACATTTAGAGTGTCAACTATTTCTGGACATCAACCTAGTATATGTGTTTAGTGTGTGTGCCTAGTATATGTGTTCAGTGTGTGTGCCTACTATATGTGTTTAGTGTGTGTGCCTAGTAAAAGTGTTTAGTGTGTGAGCCTAGTAAATGTGTTTAGTGTGTGTGCCTAGTATATGTGTTCCGTGTGTGTGCATAGTATATGTGTTCAGTGTGTGTGCCTAGTATATGCGTTTAGTGTGTGTGCCTAGTATATGTGTTCAGTGTGTGTGTGCCAAGTATCTGTGTTCAGTGTGTGTGCCTAGTATGTGTGTTAAGTGTGTGTACCTAGTATATGTGTTCAGTGTGTGTGCCTAGTATATGTGTTCATGTGTGTTCAGTGTGTGTGCCTAGTATATGTGTTTAGCGTGTGTGCCTAGTATATGTGTTCAGTGTGTGTGCCTAGTATATGTGTTCAGTGTGTGTGTGCCTAGTATATGTGTTCAGTGTGTGTGCCTAGCATATGTGTTCAGTGTGTGTGCATAGTATATGTGTTCAGTGTGTGTGCCTAGTATATGTGTTCAGTGTGTGTGCCTAGTATTTGTGTTTAGCGTGTGTGCCTAGTATTTGTGTTCAGTGTGTGTACCTAGTATATGTGTTCAGTGTGTGTGCCTAGTATATGTGTTCAGTGTGTGTGCCTAGTATCTGTGTTCAGTGTGTGTGCGCCTAGTATATGTGTTCAGTGTGTGTGCCTAGTATATGTGTTTAGTGTGTGTACCAAGTATCTGTGTTTAGTGTGTGTGCCTAGTATATGTGTTCAGTGTGTGTGCCTAGTATATGTGTTCAGTGTGTGTGCCTAGTATATGTGTTCAGTGTGTGTGCCTAGTATATGTGTTCAGTGTGTGTGCCTAGTATATGTGTTCAGTGTGTGTGCCTAGTATATGTGTTCAGTGTGTGTGTGCCTAGTATATGTGTTTAGTGTGTGTGTGCCTAGTATATGTGTTCAGTGTGTGTGCCTAGTATATGTGTTCAGTGTGTGTGCCTAGTATATGTGTTCAGTGTGTGTACCTAGTATATGTGTTCAGTGTGTGTGCCTAGTATATGTGTTCAGTGTGTGTGCCTAGTATATGTGTTCAGTGTGTGTGCCTAGTATATGTGTTCAGTGTGTGTGCCTAGTATATGTGTTCAGTGTGTGTGCCTAGTATATGTGTTCAGTGTGTGTGCCTAGTATATGTGTTCAGTGTGTGTGCCTAGTATATGTGTTCAGTGTGTGTGCCTAGTATATGTGTTCAGTGTGTGTGCCTAGTATATGTGTTCAGTGTGTCAGTGTGTGTGTGCCTAGTATATGTGTTCAGTGTGTGTACCTAGTATATGTGTTCAGTGTGTGTGTTGTGCTAGTATATGTGTTCAGTGTGTGTGCCTAGTATATGTGTTCAGTGTGTGTGCCTAGTATATGTGTTCAGTGTGTGTGCCTAGTATATGTGTTCAGTGTGTGTGCCTAGTATATGTGTTCAGTGTGTGTGCCTAGTATATGTGTTCAGTGTGTGTGCCTAGTATATGTGTTCAGTGTGTGTGCCTAGTATATGTGTTCAGTGTGTGTGCCTACTATATGTGTTTAGTGTGTGTGCCTAGTAAAAGTGTTTAGTGTGTGAGCCTAGTAAATGTGTTTAGTGTGTTTGCCAAGTATATGTGTACAGTGTGTGTGCCTAGTATATGTGTTCAGTGTGTGTGCCTAGTATATGTGTACAGTGTGTATGCCTAGTGTATGTGTTCAGTGTGTGTGTGCCTAGTATATGTGTTCAGTGTGTGTGCCTAGTATATGTGTTTAGCGTGTGTGCCTACTATATGTGTTCAGTGTGTGTGTTTCTAGTAAATGTGTTTAGTGTGTGAGCCTAGTATATGTGTTCCATGTGTGTGCCTAGTATATGTGTTCAGTGTGTGTGCCTAGTTATATGTGTTTAGTGTGTGTGCCTAGTATATGTGTTCAGTGTGTGTGCCTAGTATATGTGTTCAGTGTGTGTGCTTAGTATATGTGTTCAGTGTGTGTGCCTAGTATATGTGTTCAGTGTGTGTGCCTAGTATATGTTTTCTGTGTGTGTGCTTAGTATATGTGTTCAGTGTGTGTACCTAGTATATGTTCTCAGTGTGTGTGCCTAGTATTTGTGTTCAGTGTGTGTACCTAATATATGTGTTCAGTGTGTGTACCTAGTATATGCGTTGAGTGTGTGTGCCTAGTATATGTGTTCAGTGTGTGTGCCTAGTATATGTGTTCAGTGTGTGTGCCTAGTATATGTGTTCAGTGTGTGTGCCTAGTATATGTGTTCAGTGTGTGTGCCTAGTATATGTGTTCAGTGTGTGTGCTTAGTATATGTGTACAGTGTGTGTGCCTAGTATATGTGTTCAGTGTGTGTGCCTAGTATATGTGTTCTGTGTGTGCTTAGAATATGTGTTCAGTGTGTGTGCTTAGTATATGTGTTCAGTGTGTGTGCCTAGTATATGTGTTAAGTGTGTGTGCCTAGTATATGTGTTCAGTGTGTGTGCCTAGTATATGTGTTTAGTGTGTGTGCCTAGTATATGTGTTTAGTGTGTGTGCCTAGTATATGTGTTTAGTGTGTGTGCCTAGTATATGTTCAGTGTGTGTGCCTAGTATATGTGTTCAGTGTGTGTGCCTAGAATATGTGTTCAGTGTGTGTGCCTAGTATATATGTTTAGTGTGTGTGCCCAGTGAATGTGCTTAGCTCATTTTCCTTGTAAATTTCCCCACTGTAAATGCCTAGTAAGAGTGCCTAACGTATAAGCCTAGCACACCTGCCAGTATTTGTGCCTGACATAAACACAGCCACAACACTTGACACATCATCCCCTTTCCCTCCCTGTAAAGTCCTGATCGAACATTTTATGACCCCTGTGGGACTGACCTTGATCACACCGGGCTTCCCTAGCCAGGCGTAGAGTGTCCTCACGCAGAGGGATCTCCGAGTTCACACAACTTCTACCTGTAGACATGTCCTGGAGTGAAGGGATCTCCGAGTTCACACAACTTCTACCTGTAGACACACCCTGGAGTGAAGGGATCTCCGAGTTCACACAACTTCTGCCTGTAGACACACCCTGGAGTGAAGGGATTTCCGAGTTCACACAACTTCTACCTGTAGACACACCCTGGAGTGAAGGGATCTCCGAGTTCACACAACTTCTACCTGTAGACATGCCCTGGAGTGAAGGGATCTCCGAGTTTACACAACTTCTACCTGTAGACACACCCTGGAGTGAAGGGATCTTGGTGTCCAATGGTCTGGTGTGTATAGAATGTTCTGATGTAGGCTTGGGCCTATGCTAATACTGCACTCTGGAGAAAGACACAAACACCACTATAAATATTTGTTTTAGACATTAATGAAAGCTGGACAGGTTGGTGTGGGAGACAAGAAACTGTGTGAGACACACAGGTGTGAGAGACAGGCAGATGTGTGAGATAGGATTTTGTGTGAGACAGGCAGTTGTGTGAGACAGGCAGGTTTGTGAGATAGGATTGTGTGGGAGACAGGCAGGTGTGCGAGACAGTCTGGTGTCTGAGATAAGCATGTGTATGAGACAGGCATGAGTGTGAGACAGACATGTGTGTGAGACAGACAGGTGTGTGAGATAGGCATGTGTGTGAGATAGACAGGCGTGTGAGATAGGCATGTGTGTGAGATAGGCAGGTGTGTGTGACAGGCTAGTCTGTAACACAGGATTGTGTGTAGGAGAGGCAGATGTGTCAGACAGAGAGGTGTGTGTTGGACAGGTGTGTGTGTGTTGGACAGGTGTGTGTGTGGGACAGGCAGTTGTGTCAGACAGGGAGGTGTGTGCGACAGGTGTGTGTGTGTGTGTGGGACAGGCAGCTGTGTCAGACAGGGAGTTGTGTGGGACGTGTGTGTGTGTGACAGTTGTGTGGGTGGGACTGGTGTGTGTGTGAGACAGGTGTGTGTGGGACAGTTGTGTGTGTTTGGGACAGGCAGCTGTGTCAGACAGGGAGGTGTGTGGGACAGGTGTTTTTGTGGGACACGTGTGTGTGGGACAGGTGTGTGTGGGGGACAGGTGTGTGTGTAGGACAGGTGTGTGTGGGATAGGTGTGTGTGTGGGACAGGTGTTGTGTGGGACATGTTGTGTGTGGGACAGGTTTGTGTGGGACAGGTGTGTGTGGGACAGGTGTGTGTGGCACAGGTGTGTGTGGGACATGTGTGTGTGTGAGACAGGTGTGTGTGTGGGACAGGTGTGTGTGGGACATGTGTGTGTGTGGGACATGTGTGTGTGGGACAGGTGTGTGTGTGGGACGGGTGTGTGTGTGGGACATGTGTGTGTGTGAGGGACAGGTGTGTGTGTGTGACAGGTGTGTGTGTGGGACAGGTGTGTGTGGGGGAAATGTATGTGTGTGGGACATGTGTGTGTGCGGAACAGGTGTGTGTGTGGGACAGTTGTGTGTGTGGGACAGGTTTGTGTGTGTGAGACAGGTGCGTGTGTGGGACAAGCAGGTGTGCGAGACATGTTGTGAGTGCGACATACATATATACGTTCGTACACACATACATATATACACACATACTTATGTACACGCATGCAGACAGACAGACAGACAGACAGACAGACAGATAGGTAGATATATAGATAGATAGATAGATAGATAGATAGATAGATAGAGAGAGAGAGAGAGAGAGAGAGAGAGAGAGAGAAAGAGAGAGAGAGATGGACAGACATAGAGAAGGCGAGATTACAAGCAGACAACTAGGTCTGGGACACAGCAGGATGTCTAAAGTGAGAATATGGGTTCCCCACGATTTATATAGCCCTTTGTACATCCGGCAAAGCAGGGATTTCTCAATCATTACACAGTTATATTTGGAACGAGCGTGTGTACGTCTGGTCTTCCCCAGAGCAATATCCTTGACACTACACCTGAGAGCAACGGGTGGACAGAGCCAATGTTCATATCAGTTCGGTATCTGAGAGATGACATTTTCTTTTCTTATCTTTTCTTTTTATTCTTTCTCTTCGCGTTTACCTGCTTAAAACTCTGGCGGAAAGTTCTGGTTGTCCCTCCATTTCTGGACTTGAATCTAGTTCCAAGACTTGAGTTTTGCGTTTACATCTGTTTGTCACATCTGGCTTATTTGTATGCAGACTATTGGTTCCTCGCCTCCCAGGCAGACGTACTCCGACTTCGAAGTTGATTTTTTTCATTTTCAGCGGCTACAACACAGAAAACGTGTTCAAGGTGACTGAGTTCCTTCTCACTCGGCCAACCGTTCCGTATCTTTGCTCTAACTTAACCAGCAGTGCAACACCTGTCTAATGTCATGATGTCAGATAGTACTGAGGTCTACTGTCATGATGTCAGATAGTGCTGAGGTCTACTGTCATGATGTCAGATAGTGCTGAGGTCTACTGTCATGATGTCAGATGGTACTGAGGTCTACTGTCATGATGTCAGATAGTGCTGAGGTCTACTGTCATGATGTCAGATAGTGCTGAGGTCTACTGTAATGATATCCGACAGTGCTGATGTCTAATGTCATGATGTCCGACAGTGCTGATGTCTAATATCATGATCTCAGACAGTGCTGAGGTCTACTGTCATGATGTCAGACAGTGCTGAGGTCTACTGTCATGATGTCAGACAGTGCTGAGCTCTACTGTCATTATGTCAGACAGTGCTGATGTCTTCTGTCATGATGTCAGACAGTGCTGATGTCGTCTGTCATGATGTCAGATAGTGCTGATGTCTACTGTCATGATGTCAGATAGTGCTGATGTCTAATGTAATGATGTCCGACAGTGCTGAGGTCTGATGTCATGATGTCAGATAATGCTGAGGTCTACTGTCATAATGTCGGATAGTGCTGAGGTCTACTGTCAGGATGTCAGATGGTGCTGATGTCTTCTGTCATGCTGTCAGATAGTGCGGAGGTCTATTCTCATGATGTCTGATAGTTCTGAGGTCTACTGTCATGATGTCAGATAGTGCTGAGGTCTACTGTCATCATGTCAGATAGCGCTGAGGTCTACTTTCATGATGTCAGATGGTGCTGAGGTCTAATTTCATGATGTCAGATAGTGCGGAGGTCTAGTATCATGATGTCAGATAGTGCGGAGGTCTAGTGTTATGATGTAAGATAGTGCTGAGGTCTACTGTCATGATGTCAGATAGTGCTGAGGTCTAATGTCATGATGTCAGATAGTGCTGAGGTCTACTGTCATGATGTCAGATAGTGCTGAGGTCTATTGTCATGATGTCAGACGGTGCTGAGGTCTACTGTCATGATGTCAGATAGTGCTGAGGTCTACTGTCATGATGTCAGATAGTGCTGAGGTCTACTGTAATGATATCCGACAGTGCTGATGTCTAATATCATGATCTCCGACAGTGCTGAGGTCTACTGTCATGATGTCAGACAGTGCTGAGGTCTACTGTCATGATGTCAGACAGTGCTGAGCTCTACTGTCATTATGTCAGACAGTGCTGATGTCTTCTGTCATGATGTCAGACAGTGCTGATGTCGTCTGTCATGATGTCAGATAGTGCTGATGTTTACTGTCATGATGTCAGATAGTGCTGATGTCTAATGTAATGATGTCCGACAGTGCTGAGGTCTGATGTCATGATGTCAGATAATGCTGAGGTCTACTGTCATAATGTCGGATAGTGCTGAGGTCTACTGTCATGAAGTCAGATAGTGCTGAGGTCTACTGTCATGATGTCAGATGGTGCTGATATCTTCTGTCATGCTGTCAAATAGTGCGGAGGTCTATTCTCATGATGTCTGATAGTTCTGAGGTCTACTGTCATGATGTCAGATAGTTCTGAGGTCTACTGTCATCATGTCAGATAGCGCTGAGGTCTACTTTCATGATGTCAGATGGTGATGAGGTCTAATGTCATGATGTCAGATAGTGCGGAGGTCTAGTGTCATGATGTCAGATAGTGCGGAGGTCTAGTGTTATGATGTAAGATAGTGCTGAGGTCTACTGTCATGATGTCAGATAGTGCTGAGGTCTACTGTCATGATGTCAGATAGTGCTGAGGTCTACTGTCATGATGTCAGATAGTGCTGAGGTCTACTGTCATGATGTCAGACAGTGCTGAGGTCTACTGTCATGATGTCCGACAGTGCTGATGTCTACTGTCATGATGTCAGATAGTGCTGATGTCTACTGTCATGATGTCAGATAGTGCTGATGTCTAATGTAATGATGCCCGACAGTGCTGAGGTCTACTGTTATGATGTCAGATAGTGCTGAGGTCTAATGTCATGATGTCCGACAGTGCTAAGGTCTACTGTCATGATGTCCGACAGTGCTAAGATCTACTGTCATGATGTCTGACATTGCTGAGGTCTACTCTCATGATGTCAGATAGTGCTGAGGTCTACTGTCATGATGTCAGATAGTGCTGTCTACTGTCATGAGATCAGATAGTGCTGAGGTCTACTGTCATGATGTCAGATAGTGCTGAGGTCTACTGTAATGATGTCCGACAGTGCTGATGTCTAATATCATAATGTCCGACAGTGCTGATGTCTAATATCATGATGTCCGACAGTGCTGAGGTCTACTGTCATGATGTCAGACAGTGTTGATGTCTACTGTCATGATGTCAGACAGTGCTGAGCTCTACTGTCATTATGTCAGACAGTGCTGATGTCTTCTGTCATGATGTCAGATAGTGCTGATGTCTACTGTCATGATGTCAGATAGTGTGGATGTCTAATGTAATGATGTCCGACAGTGCTGAGGTCTACTTTCATGATGTCAGGCAGTGGTGAGGTCTACTGTCATGATGTCAGACAGTGCTTAGGTCTACTGTCATGATGTCAGATAGTGCTGAGGTCTACTGTCATTATGTCAGATGGTGCTGAGGTCTAATTTCATGATGTCAGATAGAGCGAAGGTCTACTGTCATGATGTTAGATAGTGCTGAGGTCTACTGTCATGAGGTCAGACAGTGCTGATGTATACTGTCATTATGT